TGATTTGTAAGCAAAATCGAAAAGTAAGGAAAAAATGAATACAAATGTATGATCAAATCGTTTTTCTTCGAACAATGAAACCGAGATTAACAACAGCAGGGAAATCTGATATTCTAAAAGTCGATTGCGTCAAATTTTGTTTAATTTAGCTCAAAACATGGTCAATTAATACAGAACACAATCACTATGGTCAATCAGATGATGAACCAGGACCGAGATTTCAGCTTGTGTCTTGCGGATTTTCTTCTAGGCAGAAACTGGTTCCATTTCAGAAGTTTTCGTGTTTTCCCAGCGGAAAACATCGGAGCTGGTCAATCATGTGACTGATTAGATTGTTTTGCATCGTTATATATAAATAAACCGTATTTAATGTTGTTTTCAGTATCACCACCAACGTACGAACGAAATGTTCATGTTTGGCTCTAGCTAATTTGTTCAATATGTGATGAGTATAGCTACATCCACGGCAAATTTGCCTGCTCCAATAACCAGATCAAATATCGCTACCTCCTACGCCAAGCGGTTGAGCGTCAGTCCATCACCGACAATAACCGTTCGGCTCTCCACTTTCGTAATCCACAGACCGCTGTTCACACGATCTTGCAAAGATCACACCCAACTGTTTCACCAGACATGATTTTTCCAACCCTTAGCTGATGCTTTGGTAATGACTGTATCGGAAATTAACATTGATCATTGCTCCTAAACCCTTCTCACAGTCAGAAATTCACGTTCTTAGACACAAACGTTTGCTTTATAAACTTTAAGTCTTATAGCCGTCTGCAAACCGTCTGTTTTGATTGCTTACGGAGCCGACTATTTAAGAGTTAACAATACTCTTCCATACTCCTACTGTCCTGAGGCAATACCACTTTGAATTGTAGGAGGCAGTTCACGCCGAGGAGGAGAAGTCTGGCAAGTTTAGTTCAGAACAGGACGCAGATCCAACAGATGTGTTGCCGTTGTTATCATCGTCATCTGGAGCATCTGGCACAAAGTACCTAGTTTAATGATATCTGTCTCTA